TTTTAATCATCTTGGAGTTACCCCAAAGAAGTTTATACAAATAGATATCAGAAAGTACCCAGGACATTTTTAGTGCAAGTTAATCAAGGATAAGAGTACCTTCTACTATGGTTCAAGTGATACAATGAAATCAAGATATTATTCAATATGTACTATTCAATATGTACGATTAATAGGACAATAAAGGATTAAACAAACAGGCTAAACAAAGCTTTCTATACAATGTTTTGTGTTCCACAAGATATAGGTAGTACTTAATGTCCATACATTTATATGTATATATACATATATATATGGACATGTAGTGTATGTGTGTGTTTATGTGTATGCATGTGCATACTTAGTCTTGACACATTTTTCAGTTTCTGCCATTCAATTGTGTAATAAGTATGTTGGATTGGAGGTTAGGATTCAGGCTGGAATCCATGTCGTAGAATGAATTCTATTTATGTAAATGCTTGTGTTGCAGCATCTTACAACACAAATATATTCCAAAAATTACTTGTAAGACGTTAACCAGCCATAGTGATATATTCTACTCTTCATTTTTCAAGTTTTTATTTATCTATTAACCTTTTCATCCAGTTATATATCTTCTTCTCTTCCACTTGAAATTGTTTTCCTCAACCTTTTCTTGAGACTTTATTATGTTTTAAACACTTAGTTTGAGGGAGTAAGGATATATGTGACATGGGCTCTAAGTTCAGAGAAACCATGTTACAATGCTTTCTGTCTCATTCTGCTGCCCAGGCTGACCTTGAACATACATGTTCCTCCTGCCTCAGTTCTCTGGATGCTGATATCATAGTCATGGCATAGTGGCATGGGATATGCCACAACACCCAGCTTCTTGGTACAACCTTTAAGACCTGTGCGATTAAAAATAATGCAGTACGGTAAGCTTTTTTTCTGTAAATACTTCAAATAGCAAAAACAATAAAGTTTCATTTTGTTAGCAAATATGAAAGTTAAACACTTTGAGAGATTCTCTAATTCTCCCTCTGCATGGAACAGCCATCTATAAGCATTTTATATGGAAATACTGACTTGCTGTTTAGGGTAATAAATGCTCGGTTTCAGTGTGGACTGACTTAGGTTTTGAGGTTTCCACAACCTTGTCAACTTCAGTTCCCTGTCCTCTGTGGAGGGGCGACAATAAGCCTTACCCTAAGTGAAAAGGCATGAAGTGAGCAAATGAAGGTCTCTGGAATACACTGAATCCACTCTTGTCTGAAGGTTTTCATGTAGGATAACATCCTTTGGGGGGTGGAATGAACTTTTCATAGCAGCCACTTATCAGATATCCCACATAGCAGTTATACACATTATGATTAATAACTGTAATAAAATTATAGCTATAAAGGAGCAACAAAAGTAATTTATGGTTGGGGTCACCACAACATGGGGAACTGTATTAAAGGGTCTCAGCATTAAGGAGTTTGAGAACCACTGATATAGATGATCTCACGTACTTGTAGCCACAGCTTGGTGAGACTACCCTTAGCGCTACCATTTTATTAGTAAAGCCAGAGTGAAGGGAAGGAAAGGCCCTGTCTGTGTAACTTCAAAGATGCCTGTTTGCAGCCAGACCACGTTGATATCTGTAGTTGGAGGAGCAGGCCCCTTGTTTGTCCTGGCTCCCGGCTAGGTTACACTCGAAATAAACACACAGAAATTGTATTAATTAAATTACTGCCTGGCCCATTAGCTCTAGCCTCTTATTGTCTAACTCTCACATCTTTATTAACCCATTTCGGTTAAATCTGTGTATCACCATGTGACTGTGGCTTACTGGCAAGATTCTAACCTACGTCTGTCTCAGGATGGAGATTCATGGCATCTGCCACAATGCCTTCTTCCTTCCAGAGTTTAGTTCTCTTTTCCACACCCACCTAGGCTCTTCCCTATCAAAATGCCAAGGTAGTTTCTTTATTCAACTAATGAAAGCAACATAAATACAGAAAGACCTCATACACCAGATACCAAATGTGGACACCCAAGACAGAATAGTATCCAAGGTTTGCTTACTGGATGAAGCAAACCTTGGGTCCATTTCTGACCACTGCTCAGGATTTTCAGACATATAAATGAGTGTGTGAGTTAATTGTGATCTGGGCAGTGTTTTTTCCCATGTAAACAGGATAATCACAGAGGTTTGTTTGTCCCAGGATTGTAATGAATAAATAATCTAATAAATGCTGTGGTTCAAACATGCATCTTAAATAAACAGGCAAAATAAAAGTCCTTATTATAATAAGTACAAAAAATTACCACCCCATATGGAATTATGTACTACTCTGATAATAAATTCCAACAATCTTGACCCCTAAGTGTGTGTGTGTGTATACATTTGTATATATATATATATATATATAAGTATTATATATCTTCAGTCTTCCTCTTTTGTTAGAAATATTATTCCCCATATTATAGCTATCAGAAAATGAGAGCACAACTAAGACAAAAATTTCCAGTTCCCTTCCTAAATCTCGATGACATGGATGTTCACTTCAATCCATGCACTATAGAGAGATACCTGAAGAGTCAGGATACTCAATACTTCACAAAAATTTAGGATTAGGAAACACAAAATATTATAGTCTTAAAAGTTGTTAAATAGAGGAAAATCAGGACAGCCTTTCAGTTCATCTCGGGCTTTGCCTCCACACCTAGATTCTAGCTTTTCTTCTAATTAATTTATAATGTTGGGTTCATGATTTCCTCCACCTATAAAGATGACTTGCTAACAGGAGCTAAGACACAGATGTGGAAGAATTACATGAGTTAACAGGTATAGAAGGCACATTATAAGTACCATGACACTGAAAATATAATATTCAATTAATAATTGCCAGTTAGTAATTTTAACTCTGAAGACAGTTTTAGACTGTATCAGGAACTGCACTTAACAAATTAACAAGTAATTGAAATAGTTATTGAAAATCAAATTGCAATTAAAACACAAATATTTGTAATGACTTTTCCCAAACTGGCTTTTCCCCTAAAGGTGATAACCAAAAGATGAGTTTAGTTTTCTCTTTTTATTAAGCACTGTTTATACTAAGGAGCTAGAAGATGAGAGGGCTTCTGAGAAGCCTGTCCCAGTTTCAGGTGAAGAGTAGTTTATCTGTTATAAAGTAGGTAAGTGAGATTTTAGAGTGAAATCCCCCAAACCAATAAAGATTTTGAAAGGATAGGGATATGGTTATTCTTACAGGGAAACCTAAACAGAGTTCTGCCAACCCAAGACCAAAGATGAGATCACAGACCCCATAGCGGAGACATCGGGTTCATGACAGCACAAAGAACAGGCATGTGAATAAAATGGTATATTCCCAAGTCCTCCACATTGTGTTTCTCGATAGTGAAGAAATGAGAAGTACAATCTTGAGCAGAACCATCGGACACACTTTAGAAGGAGTGTAGGTGAGACTCTGGATATCCCTCAGTTATTAAGAACCTTCTGGTCCTTAGTCTTTTTAATGCCATTAGTGAGATTTGCTATCGCTTGCGAATCTCCCATTTTGGGTGAGTTTCCCTGAATTTGACTCAAAGCAATTGTTGCTTCTTTGTGTTTTTTACCATCTTGATTTTTTTTATTAGTGATATGTCACTGATATCTGAAATGGTGACAATTGAGCACCAATATTACTCCTATAATACATTTTCCCTAAACCATAAAAATTTGTAGGCTCATAATTGTTCACTAGAAAAGAAAACTTTTTGTGCCTATACTTTCAAAACTTGATAATTTTGTTAGGAAAAATGGGAAACGTAAGGTTTTGCTTTACCATGTCTTAACATCTATAAACATTTAGTATGAATTTTCTAATTCAAGGAATTTTTAACAAATAAGCAAAACATTAGCACAAAGTGTTTATGTTTGTTAGCTTGTTTGTGTGTTCAGCAAATATTTGTGCATTGTTGGCTAAGCATGAGACACTGCTGACCCTCCTAAGTGTGTCAGAAATCATGGTTACTATATGATTTCTTTCGAAAGCTCTGATCTAAATAAGTATCCTGAGACTGGTGAGATGTCCAGTGAAGCTCACTGACTTAGCAGCTGCCTAGGATCAAATTCTCACACATGAAATTCTGAGGATGGTGCCTTCTGCCTACAGAGATAGAAGTTAGTAAAGTGACTATGCTCATTCGTGAATAATACTATATAATGTATGTTTAAGGCTCTACAAAATTCGGGCATCTGACAGTTCTGTAAGCCTGGAGAAGTATCCTAACTTCTGTGTCTTCAGATTTCACTCATTAGGATAGGCATTAATGGCACCCTACTCTACTGAGCTTGGCAGGTTGGCCAGGCTCTTGAATGAAAAATGTAAAATATTTTATGTAAAATATGTAAAATATTTTGAAAATATTATAAATATTAACAAAAATGAAATATTATCATCCTAGCAGTTAAAATCACTATTTTGAAATATATAGTTAGATCAAAGTAGCTTTTCCTATCTTTAGATGTGGCAAATCCTATTTAAAAATTCGTAGTTTTTACCTTTCCTCATTACTTAGTAGAAGAAGTTGTAGAAAGTTATCACACTAGCCCCGGTCTCAATCTTCTTCTAGCTCAGCTTCTCCTCAGGTGTAAGGTTCTCTACAGTGGACCGAGGGTCTCTGAAGTTCATGACTTCTAACCTCCCCCACTGCACAAGAACCAACACAAAGTTACAAGGAGAAAAAGCTGAAGGAACAGCCTAGATACTGCTGGGCTGCTGCTGTGAGGATTGTTTTAAAACAAATGATCACCACCACCATCACCACCATCACCACCACCAGCGAACTTCGGTTCAGAATCAACCAGGACAAAGTGTGATTAATTGTCTTTCCCAGTGCTGTCCCAAGTACTAACTACTGAACTTGACAACAAGAAATAATGCTGCTGCTGCTTTTTTTTTTTAACCAAAAAATACCAATTTTTAAACACAGAGATTACTTAATGCAACCCACTATAAAGATTCCGGAACTCTCTCAAGCTTAACTGACATTTGAATCCCTTAAGGATCCCTCCCCAGCCATGCTCTGACACTGGGGAAGCTATTCACTGACAGACAGCACAGCACTGCAAAGAAGCAGTGCCCAAAGGAAACAAAATGAACTTACCGATGCACATACATCGTGAATGGGAGGAAGGGAGCTTTCCGATGTCAGCCACTGAACAGGACGTTCCAATCAACTCTATGACATCCCTACAGGTATTAGACATCTACTACTGGAAGAAATAAGGAAACAAATGACAAGTAGTTGAAAAGAAACGAGTTTGACAAGTCTGAACACGGAAGCCTCAGCCCATAGGACAGCTTGGAGAAAGAGGCAGAGAAAACATACTCCCAGCAGGAAAGAAATGGTTCCTCATCTCTTCTCTTCTCTTCTCTTCTCTTCTCTTCTCTTCTCTTCTCTTCTCTTCTCTTCTCTTCTCTTCTCTTCTCTTCTCT